TGAGTAGGGTAGCCAAGATGCGGACTTGTAGTCCCGGAACTTGGAGCATATCAGACATACGTAATCTTTTAAAGAGAAACAAAAATCGATTTCATCCTGTTTACAACATACGAAACATTTGCAAGCGACACGATGAGTTGTCTCGCGTTAGCGAAATTAGGAGAGGCGTCAAATCGCCGAAGACGTATCATTTGTTTACGTGGTTTTGAAATGGATTGTCTATGGGAGAAAAGGAACGAAATAGTGATTTTTTTTGATGCTTCTCAAATAAATCAATGTTTTGTGGGTTCTGCTCGGTTTTATGGACATTTTCTCGCTCGACTTTGGAGATTCTCAATTTTAAGGATCTAAGGATGAATTTTTTCGCAAGTCCATCTTACGGTAGGATTTTTTGGGTGACAAGATACGATCGTTAAGGTGGAGTATTCAATCACAATTATTATTAACATTATTTCTAATTAATTTAACTTCATTAATCATTGTGTTACATTTTGAGATTACCGATGTTTCATTTCGGTTCGTATATAAACGTAAAACCTTCTGTTATGTCGGGGAGATTGGGTATATTTCCATACAGACCCTACGCTCCAATGCAACAATGCAAAGCCACTGGTTTGGGAAAACGATTGGGATTTAAACAACCAGCCAAAAATCCACATTTTTTAAGTATTAAGGTATTGACAATACCTATATAACATATTTTCTAAACATTAGTAACTAATCTGACGTTGACAATAGTTTATGCCGCTTATCTGTCCATGGAAGTGCAAAACACGAAAACAGTGTCACGCATTTAGGCTGACATGTTTCATAACGCCTTATCGTACGAATATAATATCGCGAGCTCAAAACCCGACCAATTTTCGGTGACCCCGATCCGAACGCTTCCTCCTTGTGCTCGAGTGTCCTAATTTTTTATACGAACACGTTGCTACCGCGCACGTGACCAGCCCGCATTAACACTGCCTTACAGTAAGCGCAGCAAGTAAATAACCCAATTCGTCCATTATATTTTTAACGTATTCATTCATACAACCCGAATGGAGTAGTGGGTGGGGTACCTGCCTCTTAAGCCTGAGGGTGTGGGTTCGATCCTCACTACTGGAAAAATATCGTGTGATGAACATAGTGTTTTTCTAGTGTTTGGGTGTTTTTTATATAATTATGTATTTATTTACCAAAGAAAAGTATGTTTATCAGTTATCTAATACCCATAGTACAAGCGTTGCTTAGTTTGGGACTAGCGAAAATGTGTCCTAAAATATTTATTTATTTATTTATACTCACGAAAAGCTTATTTATTGTTTGTGAGTATGAATATATTACTATGTGTACCCCAGCATAATTCGATACCGTTTTATTAAAGAAAGTGACAAATGAGTAATCTGTTAATTAATTAACGTGATATTATAGTCCTCTTTATAGTCCTCCATAGTCCTCCTTTCCGAGGGGGCAGCTTGGGTGACAGAAACGTGGATTTCATCATCACCATCAATCATTTGCTTCACCGTCTAACGCAGTCTTTACTTGACGCCGGTCTTGGATAGCGTAGCGACTTCATGCTTTTTTTATCTTGGTTCAGATTTATATTGCACCGAGAAGGGATAGACCGAGAAATGATAAACAGAAGGATGCAGAACACTAATAAGGCTAAGAAAGAGAATCGAAAATAAATCCGCTGAAGAAATGAGACTGAAGATGGGCAGAATCCACAGGCAACCGCATCCAGGGAAGTTGCAAGGACATCGCTTTTTTTTTCTTTTTTTTATATAAAACATTGCCCTTACTTTAGGATAACATTATCCTGTGTTGAAAGGCGTTTTACAAACATAAATTTCACACGGACAAACACCCAGATGCGAAAGAACTATCTATGGGTCAGATAAATAGTTGTCCCGTGTGGGGATCGAACCCACGTCCCCGACGCCGAAGCAGAAACCTTGGCGACCGCGCCACGGAGTCTTTGAAAATGATCAATGTCAATTAGTTCCTTTAGTTAATTAACTATATGTTTCTTTAATAATCTATGCTCGTACAATTATGCTTTATTTATGTATTACTGCAATTTAATTGTCCATAAAATAAGTAATAACTAATATTCAACATACTTATGCATAATATTACCTTTTGTTCGTTTCTTAAATAAAACATCGGCATCGTTTTTGTATAAAGATACAAGTATTATTTTGTTATAAATGTGTCACAACTCGATGCCCTAAAGCCATTAGATATTTTACAGCTAGCTATTTATATTTTACTTGAAGATAATAAAAAAAAATCGTTCGTATGTTATGACGCCAGACGTAAACCGGACCATAATTACTCCATTATATATTATTATAACGTAATTCGAAGTAGTGCTTGATCAAATCAGTAGCTGAATTTAAATTTCTCTAGTTGGTTCTATCATTCTTAATTCCACAGATTATTTACAGCATGAAGAAAAACAATTAATACTTTATTTTATCCAATTGAATATATTTAAAACATTAAAGAAGAAGAAGAAGAAGAATATATTTAAAACATATACGTAGGTATGTGGCTTAGCTTTCATTATTTTTTATAAACATTATTTTTTCACAACACAATACTCTCACTAAAAAGTTGTATGAAGTATTCTTCGCATGTTATATTCATCTCTCTGTTTAATTTGTTATTCACGTTTTAGTAAGCAAGAGTTAGAAGTTCAATATTCCGTCCCAATTCAATTATTACATTTAGTAATCACGTTTCACCAGATGTAATCGCATGATTTAAAGTCATAGCCTGTTCTTGGCTGCTGATGCGAATATTCATAAAATGCTGGTCATTATCAGGTGATGCGTTAGACTTAGATTAAAAACAATCCTCATACGTAAAAACCAATAACATATATGTTATTTACTCGGACCTAGGCTGGGCTCGTTACAAGAGTTCGAAAGTTACTAGGCCACGCGATAAAAAGGTAAAACACAACAAAAAAAATGTGTGGTTCATATATAGTACAATCTCTGACACAGAAGAAAGTATTACTGATGCAGGCATAAACTATTTATATAAAGTTTACGTACAAGTATTAAGAGCAAGCTAAAAAGTAAAAAGCTGTAAACCATTTTTTTTTTTTCGGATAAGACCCCAATAACTCGTTGAAATATCTTGCCTGGGAGCTAAAATCTGACAATGCACAAACATAATTGTGATAGTTCATGTGATTTTGCAGGGAACATAAAGAATAAACCACGGCACGAATAATAAAACCATAGTAGATGACCACTTTTAACGCGTGCACAAAGAAGGAAACCAAAAACAAATCATGGCTGTAATTAAAATTTATTGGTTGAAACGGGTAAGACATTTTATCGCTTACAAATTGTTAAACAGATGTATACTTAACTTTTAGTATATTGTAACCTTATTATATTTAAAACACACTATGGTAACACGTGGTAACTATTTAGAATAAATCTTTGGCGTTAAAATTATATAATACAAAATACTGATTTAAATTAAAAATATTTCAAATCAATCGAAGAAACATTCCATGCAGATAAAGTTGAATTTATGGCGAATCCTTATGAAACATACTAAACTAATAATTTTTATTTCAATAAATTTTTAATTTCATTGGCGTTTTAAGTTAACATTACAATTGCATTTACATATAGGTTATAACCGGATACGTAAAAACAGTCACTTATACTGCGTGGTACTTTAGGTACTGTTTAAACCCTACATAAGGCAGAAACAATCTAATCTAAAAGTCTTAACTAAAACTAACTTACACATAAAATAAGTTTCAAATAGTTGAATAATTTACCTATTTAAATGAATATTTTAGTAATTTACTCATTATCTGATATTGGGACGATCTTGCGGTGTTATGTCAAGTTACGAACCATAATTGCGAAATTATAATTGAAACAAAAAGACGAGACGTCTTAGATATATTATATAGTATGTATGAACTTCTTAATGATCAGAATGATTCAGTCCGTAGGTATTGAAATCTTGTTTTGATAATTAAAGTCCGCGGAACAAAACGAATCCACAACCATCCGCGTTGAGTAGGCGCACGTGCTCGTGGGTGGGCCATCGAAGAGAAAGGAATAATTCCTTTCTCGTAGATGACGCACCAAATGACATGAAAATTATTGTCACGTATCCGTCGGGTTTTGGTGCGGAGTATCGCTCCGGCGGCCGTTGTCTGTGTTAATTTGGTAGCGGTGTGTAATGCTGAAGCATGCTCAAGGGCAAGAATGAAATATTTGAGCACGCTGAGCTATCATGAGCCACGATAGCTCAGTTTGCGGACGCTCGCTTTCAATTCAATATTCTCAATCAACCTGAGTTTAAATCCCAGTGGCAGCACCAATGAAATTGTTAATTTTAAGTGCTGACGTATCACGTGCTCAGCGGTCAAGGATAACATCGTGAGGAAACCAACATATTTTCCAAATAATAACCAAAAAAAATATATGGAGGCGGTGCTTTGTATCACGTCGACGAGACCGGCGTATATCATGACTGTAGACTTAGTGGCCATAGACACAGGTCAGTCGGCGATTGCGCGCGACCCTAAATGATTTTGTGGCCCGGGCTGGAGGCGGTGCCGTATACCCAATCGACGTAGGAAGCCACACCGCCCAAATCAAAACGATAATAATTGCAGACCTGCGTCTATCGCAATAGTAGACTTGGCCATAGAGGCGGGTCTGCAGGCGGTTGAGCGCGACCCTAAATGATTTTGTAGCCGAGACCGGAGGTGGTGTTTTGTATCCAGTCGACGAGACCTGCGTACGTCGCAACAGTAGACTTGACCATACAGTCGGGTCTGCCGGTGATTGCACGCGATTCTAAATGATTTTGTAGCCGACGCCGGAGGCGGTGCTTTGTATCCAGTTGACGAGACTTGCGTTTATCGCGACAGTAGACTTCGTGGCCACAGGTGGATCCGTCAGGACTGTCGCGTCAGTAGTCTTTCGCTAAAGATGCTGATCTGTCAACAGTTACGCACGTCCCTAAATGATTTTGTGGCCGAGGCCGGATGCGGTGCTTTGTATCCAGTCGACGTAGGAGGCCACGCGGGTGTAGACGCCCGGGCGGGCGCGGCGGGCGCACCCGGACCCCCAGGAGACGACCCCCTGCAGCTCCCAGCGGCCCTCGGTGCGGCACGCTAACGGACCACCAGAGTCGCCCCGACAGGCGTCCACGCCACCAGACAGAATGCCTGGAACACGAAGAAGTTGTTTCTGAAACTCGCAATGATATTATATATAGATTAGAGGTAGATATGACAATAACGCAACGAAACTCTAGATGAGCGGTGGCAGCAGCCTCGGCTGTTGCAGGAATGGGCAGGCTCGTCCGGGTAAGTACCACGACCTCCCAGAAGACCGGCGTAAAGTGGATGAATCACAAATACTTTCGCGTTTCGTCTGGTGAGTGAGGTAGCCGGAGCCCAATTTCCAAAAGGGTAGCTGACGCAACTGCAAACCCTAGATGTAGCAGATGTCTATGGGCGGCGGTATTCACTTAACATCAGGTGAACTGTCTGTTTGTTTGGCAACTTTTCACATAAAAAAAAAAACTAGTTTGCAAATCTATAGACAGCTGTCTCTTTCCGTATCATACCTGTAAGTACGTAAGAAGTTCTTACATACTTTAACTTCTTTTAGCTAAAGATATTAAATGCCATTGATAAGAGTTTATCGAAATAACTTGGAATTATTGGTAAATGTGAACAAGGTGTTAGTGGTTGCCAAGATTAAATTGGTTACCAGTTAATGTCCCTTTTTGAGAATTTCAAAAACTTCGCTTTTCTTCTTATCATGTTCTGTTATTATCTTACCAGTGACATGTTCTTAATTTTATTTTTATGTAGATTTTTATTAACATTATTAGAATCGTATTGAATTATTGAGTACCTTTATGATTTAATACTTTATATATACCTATACCTATATCGGCAAACAACTATAAAATACCTACTGGTAATGATCGTTAACTAAATATATAGTACCCGGAGGATCGAGCTTTGCTCGGTTTGTTTTTTTTTTTTGGTAAATCGTGTATTTTGGAAATTACATTTAGATACAAATTACTGAGTAATGAAATATGCATAATATTTTTCGATCTTACCGACGTAATAATAAGAAAATATGAACTGATGTTTTTCACAAAAGAAAGAACTTTAAAAAAATAACAAAATAACAAATCGACAAAAAATTAAAAATAAAGAAAGCAATGATCTGGAATCGAAAAAAAAGTAAAAAAATAAATGTGTAAATGATCGTGACGCGAACCACGTCCGTCTGTTTTGGGGCCGCCCGATTACCGACCGAGCTATTATGACATTTTCTCTTGCGGTGAAATTTACCGTCATATTCGAATTATATTTTTCATTCACTGAAAACAGGGATAAAAGGACATTTTCTAAAAATGAAACCTAGCTAGATCGATTTTTCGCCCCCGAATCTATGCACATACTAAATTTCATGAAAATCGCTGGAGCCGTTTCCGAGATTCCGATTATATATATATATACAAGAATTGCTCGTTTAAAGGATAAGATTATGTCTTTGGTACTTCACTGAAAATAACATATCGCCAACTCCAAATCAAATAACAGAAAATAGGGACATGTTGGCAGGCTGAAAATTAATTTATAATTCAAAGTTTACCAAAGAACTGCAAAAGTCTTCTAATGTTATACTCACCTGCACAGATCATAGAGTCCAAAATCGGTTGCTGCCGTCCACCCAGCACCTGATTCTTCCTGCATGTATCCAAGTCCATCAACGGTACCTCAGCAGCTCTCAGGATTGGTGAGAAGGTCTCCGTGCCCTCTGCGAAAAAACAAACAATATATGGACAATATGCAAATATGACTGAGATTATGCGACTCATTAAATTATCGTCAAGAGCTATTCGAGCAGTTTATAACCTAGGCCCAGTAATAATTACTAAGAAATTTATTTAAAGTTATATATATTGACTGTAGCTTCTTAGTCCATACTTGAAAACGTATGGTATGACTACAAGTTACTCCCGCTGAGGTTCTTCCCGGGTATATCAATTTCTTTCCGAACCGGTAGTAGTATTTTTACAATTAATAAGTAAGTGTAATGCTTGTACAGGGAGGCTTTTTGAGAAGTGCCCAAATTTACAGAGGAGGTTCAGACCAGGTAGTATAATCGTTTATTGAAATAAAAATGAACTTTAAAAAAAATGCCATTCTATTCCCTAAAAAACAGAACTTGTTGACAATGCGATAGTCATTCATAAATACCTAAATTTTACTGTTCACGCACACAAACGAACTTGTGTGCGTGTTAGTTATGAATGATCGCGCGTAAAATAAATGAGTTACGTACAAATCACGCACTTTTTGAGATAAGTTCAAATGAATGTAATTAATTACTTATGACTGATTTTAAATATTTATAATTTTTTATATAACATTATTTATGTCTAGAATTTAATAAAAAAATGGGTACACTTAGAAAAGCTTCCCTGTATATTGAATAAAGATATTTGAATTTGAACTTTTAATTGTTAAAAGTGGCAAACTATTAACAGTAGTAATAATTTTATGGAAATCTCTTTTTAATAGAATAGAATAGAATAGAATAGAATAGAAAATTTTATTGATCGTACACAAACACCGTTTACAAAAAAAAGAGAACAAAATAACTAATTTACATACAAATACAATTAGTAATTTTCCTAATATCGAATAATGATAATAAATACAAAGTCGGTGTATGCGACGACCAAAAGGTAGACAGCTCAGCATAATGCTATGGTTGAGGTAGCGCTGTTTTTCAGCTGACGCCTACGAAATTGAGTCACGGACAATCTGGATGCCTTTTTATGAGAAATGAACTACAGTCAGATATGTAACATAAATAATGATTAAGGTAGTGTGTGCGTTGCCACGCCATTGGCTTCGGCGTCAGGGGCCGTGGAATCGATTCCCACACTGGATAAGTATTAGTGTGATCCAAAGATAATTGGATCTGGGTCATTTGATCCCCAAGAAGCTAACTCTAGCCCTAGCCCTAGCTCTTTATATATATTTCAACTCATGTATTTATAACTATAAACACTACAAACATACAGTACAGCAAAACAAAATCAGAAGACAAAGAATGTGACTTATCAATTTTTGTTGCAAGGTTGAATGTTATAAATTCAGAAACGTTCAGAAAAGTATGTCTTTTGGGTAGGTGTTGCGAGACAGCGAAAGTTTTGGTACCTGCCTGGTAGCCCCAGCCGCTGACGGAGCACCAGCTTCCAGCCTCGGCGTCAGCGTCGGGCAGGCAGATCGGGCGGACGTGGGTGTTGAACTGGACCCCGTTACCGGACCTGGAGACCAGCAACAGGGCGATGTCGTTGCTGTGCGGGCCATCTGGAATACAATGGGGCCAGTGTAAATCGCCGATTCCATTTTTGTGATTTAACTTTTTTTTTTTTTTTATTTAGAACTGGCCAGCACTTGACTGCCATCCCACCTGATGGTAAGTGGCGATGCAGCCTTTGATGGTAAGCGCGCTAGCTCAGTAAAAACCTATTCACTCTTGCCTTGAAGACGCCTACGTTGTAATCGAACGGAAAGACGGACGCCGGCAGGTTGTTCCATTCCTTAGCTGTACGGATGATGAATGATGAGGCAAATCGCTTTGTTCTTGTTTTGGGAACGTCGACAGCATAAGGGTGGAGCCGCCGAACACCTAGTTGTCCGATGATGGAAAGGAGCAGGAGGAATCAAATTATGCAACTCCAACGCACACTCTCCAAAATGCATCCTGTAGAAGACCGAGAGGCTGGCTACTCTGCACCTGTGCTCAAGGCTAGTAAGGTTGGTCTTAACCAAGTTACGGTCACCAATAAGCTTTTCCGCACGTCTCTCCATTGAGTCCAAGGCACCCAGATGGCATTTTGCAGCCCCAGCCCAGATATGGCAACAGTACTCCACACACGATCGGACTTGAGCTTTGTATAGCGTAAGAAGCTGCCCCGGTGTGAAGTACCGTCGCACTTTTGCAAGAACACCTAACTTCCTTGCAGCTGCCCTGGCTTTAGACTCAATAAACCGCCCAAAGTTGAGGTTTGAGGATATTTCGACTCCCAACAACTGAAGGCGGTCGGTATACTCCAAGGACACATTTTGGAAAGTAGGAGCCAAGTTGAAGGGGCTCCTTTTTGCGGAAAAAAGACAAGCCTGCGTTTTGGAGGCGTTGAATCTCACAAGATTAGCATCGCCCCATTCAGAGACCGCCTGCAATGTAAGATTCAAACGCTCTACCAAGGCCTCTCTTTCGGACTGGATGTAATCTCTACTGACCCTAAGACTCGGTTGGTATCTCACCACAACTGTGCTGTCATCCGCGTATTCATAGATACCGGGCATGAGCAGATCGTTGATATGTAGCAGGAAAAGAGTTGCGGAAAGGACGGACCCCTGAGGAACTCCGGCATTAGTCGTCAGTGGCTCGGATGAACAACCTTCGATGACTACTCGGAGAGACCGCTCACTCAGAAAGTCCTTCACTCAACCGATTAGGCCAGGAGATATGCCATACGCTAGACCTTGCTAAGGAGGCTGGCGTGCCAGACCCTGTCAAAGGCCTTCGAGATATCTAGGGAAACCGAAGTGCTTCACCATTGTTCTCGAGGGCCTCGCCCCAAAGGTGAGTGGCGTACACTAGAAGGTCCCCAGTTGACCGATTTCGGCGAAATCCGTACTGGCGGTCGCTGAGGAGGTCGTTCTGTTCTAGGTACGCCATGAGACGGGCGTATATAACGTTATGCTGATGTTATAAACGCATAGTGTGTTTTGTTTTGTTCTTCCTCATAGAGTTACGACGCAAGGCATCGGTAATGGTTTTAGCATGATATTATGGGCCAAAAATATGTTTAGACTTCTCTTTATTATATATAGAACCGTGATAGCTCAGTGTCCGAGTGCCCGCCTTTAATTGAATATTCTTGAGAAACCTGAGTTCGATCCCCGGTGCCGGTACCAATGTAATAGTTAATTTTGAGTGCTGACTTATCACGTGATCGGCGGTCAAGGAAAACATTGGGAGGAAACCAACATATTTTCGAAATAATAACCAAAAAAATATATCGAAGATATGTGAAGTCCGCCAATCCGCAGTGGGGTCGCATGGTGGACTATGGCCTGATACCCTTTACATTGCATGAAGCCTGAAGTACGGATGATGGCTGTCAACCTTGATGTCTGACTGCATAAAACTGTTCGTGTAAAACACTTCTCGACAGCAGCCTACCGTTGTGCAGGATGACCCCCAACTAAATGGCGTGACGACCTGTGCAAGAGTACGATGGATGCAAGCAGGTTTTGGGGGAAGCCTATATTCAGCAGTGGACCCAAACAGGCTGAAATGATGATGTAGAAATCGTACACCGCACAGCTCAGGTTCAGTCAAACGAGACTAACGGAATGGACGTTAAGAAACCTCTCAGCGGTTTGGAACTTACTCTTCCTGAAATCAGGATGCAGAACCACCCTCTCCGCGAGGAACCGGTGCTCATGCTTGTCCTGGACCTTTAGCCTGTGCTCGCCCACCACTACTCTAATCTGATCCAGGTGGAGGGGTTGCTGAAATTAAATAGCACAACATACCATTTATTATTTCTTGTAATAGCGCAAATACTAGATATTGTTAAGTCGGTTTTAGTGTTCGTAATTTTGGTGGATATTCAAGGCCCAGACATCATTTAAAATAATTTAGAAAACTTTTATTTATATTACTTTATTTAGATATTGTTTTAATAACGTCCAATAATTTGAATAAAGAAAAATATTTAGTTTAGTTAGAAAATTGTTTAGTTTCACCTAAACAATAGATCAAAATGATCTATTGACTCGTAACTATGTAACATTTATAATTATGTTACAGAATTAGATCTACAGATGTTTCAAATTAAATTAAACGGCAGGATAAATATTATTGGTTATGGTAATGACATTATAAATTAAGTTTTATCCAAAGATCAAAAATAAAAGTGTCTGTAAATTGACCGTCGTTACCTAATTATATTCGACGAAATTTTAATGGTGATGGTTTCAACTGTATCAAAGAATATTGCAATAGAGACAGTAGCAGACTTTAGACACTATATAATAATAACCATAACCGTCATGCGTGGCTCAGGATTGTGCTTCGAGGTAGTCTGTGGGGTGGACTAAAAAAGCTGAAATTATGATGACGATATGCATAAACGCAAAGCGGTTGTGCAAGGAGCATGGAAAGTACTTAATCTTCGACTATCCCTATAGGCAAGAGGGGTGGGCAGTTACGTACTAAAGAAGTTCATTCTACTGTACTAAACTTGTAGATACTATCCATCAATTATACACTATATACTGTTCATTGTAGATACAATCCATTAATTAATAAAACCCACCGTGTTTTTTTATTAATTAATATGAGCATATTTCCGTGCCCCTTGGTCAAAGCCTTGAATCCTGGGTGAATCAGGACTTAATGCGGAACCTTACCTTATCGAAGCAATGAGCTGCAGACAGGACTAGTCTCTCTGCGATCACAGCGCCCCCACAGTGGTGTTCAAACGTCAACTTATCGGGATCGAGCATCTGTATCTCCACCTGTAATATAATTATTACAATAAAACTAAGTGGGGCTTCACTAACCTCTTTTGTATTTTTATAAAAGAGTATGTAAACCAAAAGCTACTAAAGTGGGGAAGGAACGCAAGGGATGTCAATCAAATCTTGTTCTTTAAACGACTCATATTCTCTCATTACATTTTAAATCTTAAAACAAAACGAAGATAGTGATTGGAACACGGAATATGCTAATAATCAGTGCTACTATTACTACAAACGCAAACTACAAAAAGTTTTACCCAAAATACTATCTCTTAATGACGCTCTTTACTCAAAGCTTGTATTTTGGTAATAACCGAGAAAAACTACGCGAAATTAGCCGATGTTAAAAAGTGAAAGTCTTGAGTAATGAATATTGGATTTCTGAACATTGCAAAATTCATCGTCAGCCATACTCGCGGTCAAGAGGTGTCACTTGACGCGCTTTTGTGAAATTTTGGCGCGCGTCTTCAACTAAAGAGGTTAAGTGCAAGTAGACATTGCATTCGTTATGTAAGTTTAGCGAGCGCGTTTGTTATATAACAATTTTAAAGACAAACGTATGTACGCGTGATACTTAAACTAAGCGTGCTAATGTAAAAAATACCAAATAGTTAATTCAAATTCAAATATCTTCATCACTACATAGTATAAAACAAAGTTGTCCCGCTGTTTGTCTGTCCCTATGTATGCTTAGATCTTTAAAACTACGCAACGGATCTTGATATGCTCTTTTTACTAGATAAAGTGATTCAGGAGAAAGTTTTATATGTATAATATATTGCACCCTTGTAAAAGCGGTGCATTTAATTACACTTACTCATTATCAGAAAACATTACTACCGGTTCGGAAAAAACAATTTGTTTAATTTAATTTGACAAAACCAACATCTTTACAATATATTACATTACTAGTAACCCGCCCCGGCTTTGGGTGCAATGTATTATACATATAAACCTTCCCCTTGAATAATTTTGGTACATATGTATAATATATATTTATTTACAACAGAAAAGTATATTTAAGTATGGTTAGTAGTTATCTAGTACCCATAGTACAAGCGTTGCTTAGTTTGGAACAAGAGAACGTTGTCTATAAATTGTGTCCTAAAATATTTATATTTATTTATAGTTAACGGAATGCTTGACAAATCGAATAGTGATCAAATCAGTCGATTTTATGGTTTTTAATGTTTTTTTACCCTAGTCGGTTAATCTATTTCGAGTTTTTTAATGTAAAAAGGTAATTATTTGAGCTGATTTTCGTACGGTGAGCATGTCGACCGATTAGTAGCTAGAGCGTCTGGATGCGTAATTCAAGAGGCACAGGTACGAATCCTGGCCGCAGCGAAAATATATGCGACAGTTTATCTACAAGTTCATAAGTGTAGAGACTGGCACTAAATTAAAATTAAACTTCACAAACTGTTAAGCTCCTTAAGGCGTTCCTCTAAACTCTATTGTGTACATAATGTTGGGCAGTTATTCAAATGAACTATTACAAATGTGCCATATCATTTTACTAAAAAAATATACTCGAATCTTAATACGGAAATAAACTGTTACTCTTACATAAGTATTACATATCTTGAGCTAACATGTGTCACTATAAAACCAATTTAGTGTCTCATAAAATACCTGTTATAATAACATTTGACGGGTTATATGTATGTATAGATGCGTAAATTGTTTATGAAATATGACATAAAATTTAAAATCCCCCCTTATTAATATTATAAACATGAATGTTTGTATCTTACGCTTTCACGCCAAAACTAATCAACCGATTATTATGAAATTTTGTACACATACCAACATCCAAGAAGAGGTATTAAAAAGGACATAGGATTCTTTTCATTAAAAAAATACTTAAAAAAAGATATTTATTTAAGGGCTTAAACTACATGAAATGCGAACTTATACGTATGACTACTTAAAGGTACAATACACTATGTGGTAGGGCCACGCAAGTCTTCGCTGTTGGATGAATGGGCAGGCCCGGCCGGGGGAGTATCAAGACCTCATAGAAGACCGGCGTGGAGTAAAGCTGTTATACTTCTGCGTTAAGTCTGGTGTGTGATGTAACCCACTTTATTAAATGGTGGAAATACATCTGCAACCCTAGAGGTGTTGCTGGTATCCATGGGCGGTGGCTATCACTTATCATGAGGTGGACGCCATCTCGCTTGGCAACTTCTCTCTAAAAAAAATATAACTTGTGTAGTTTAGCAAATATCTTTTTACGCATTCGTAGCCTTATCCCTTTAAACTTGTTGCTATGGATACAATAGATTATCTGGCATAGACCCGCGTTTCGAGCTCTCCTAAACCGTTAATAACTCTCCCTCTCTCTTCTAAGCTATATATCCCATATGGTGGTGGGGTCAGCTTTCCCTAGTTTTGCTCTCCATTTCGCTCTATCGGCGACATATTCATCACACACTTGACATTCTACCATGTTCCTTAGCAGTACATCTTTCCATCTCGTTAGCACTACGGTAATGAGATGGAAAGATTAACGGTGGTAGGGCCACGCAGCAGCCTCGGCTGTTGCACGAACGGGCAGGCCCGTCCGGGTAAGTACCACGACCTCACAGAAGACCAGCGTAAAGTGGAAGTATGATAAATACTTTCGCGTTTCATCTGGTGAGTGAGGTGGCCGAAGCCCAATTTTCAAAAGGTTGTCAATGCATCTGTAACCCTCGAGTGTAGCAGATGCTCATGGGCGGCGGTATTTACTTACCATCAGGTGAATCGTCTGCTCATTTGGCAACCTTCACATAAAAAAAAAAACATCTTTCCATCTCATTAGCACTACATCTTTCCATCTCGTTAGCACTACATCGAAATTTAATTTGCACTGAAATCTAAAGTCATCTCGTTAGCATAATAAATATTTTCATTTCATCGTTAGCACTACATCTTTCCATCTTTAATAACTGGTTAAGGTTATATTTTTACAAGCGTTTGTTTTAAGTTAGATCGTTAACCTTCCTTAAGTCACGCTATGACGTTTATGTTATGTATTGTGGTGCTAAATTATGTTAATCGGTTTGCGTTACCACATAACACTAGCAGCCAAGATTTTGGACGCAGAGCGCATGTTACACATTTGGAATATAAATAACGTTATTGCCATTCGTTTTTTTTATATGCGTGATATTATGAGATTTCGGCGGGACGCCTCGTACTTTGACAATATTTATAATTACAATTACATCATCATCAAATCCGTCTCGTTTTTTGCTCTTTTATGTTCAGCATTCGCTTCCAAGCTTACCACCAGTCAAATCGACAATACATTTCTAGTTACCGCTAATTATGCCTTAAGTGATTGAAGACTTAGATAACTTTAGGCTGCTTCTCTATTTATTTATTTATTTATTTAAACTTTATTGCTACACCTTAAGATAATAACTACAACGCTAGGCCTAATAGCATTCCCAATACTTATACAATAACTCTGTATAAGTTGTTCCCTGTTTCAGTCATCAGTAGTAAAGAAAATTAATTTACAAATCGCTTTTGATGATGTGATATCAAGCAAAAATTCACCGTGGGCGAAAGCAAGCAAATAAACAATGCTATGCTTCTAATATTTTTATTGGACGCCTGATACTTAATTAATTGGTATTTTACGTACATAATTCACTGTTAGGATGTGATTTTTGCTTACTATAATATAGGAGCCGTGATAGCTCAGTGTCCGGGCGCTCGCCTTTAGTTCAATATACTCGAGCAACCTGAGTTCTATCCCAGGTGCCGGCACCAATGAAGTTTTTAACTTTAGCAACTTTAAGTGCTGACTTATCACGTGCTCCGCGCTGAAGAAAATCATCGTGAGGAAACCTGCATATTTTCGAAATAATAACAAAAAATATATATTACGAGGATACGTAACGTCTGCCAATCTGCAGTGGGGTCGCGTGGTGGACTATGCCCCGATACCCACAATTCATAAACGGTACATCAATTCATAAAAATCATTGATAAAAATTCAATATTAAAACGTCTTGGAAATAACGTCCGAATTGGACGTTGGAAGGTCTATTTTTAAAGAAAAATAAATTTTGTATCTCACCTGCCAAGGATAAGCTCCGTAGGGTGTCTCGGTGCCACCAACTATCTTCCCAGTCCTCCTCGGATTGAAGTTGACTGTGCGCGTCCCACATTGCACTTTCTCGGGCTTTCCTGGACGCGGTACCAGGTTCTGGTTGAAATAGTTCGTAGAAAAACTCGTGAACGCTTTCGAAGGCCGGGTCCTATTCCGATAGTACTCTATGTGATTTACTTGATTCAAAAAGTAATCGGCGGAGCAAAGGTTAAACGATATGATAATGAATAATACGATATCTGTTAACATTTTTGATTCACCAATTGCTATCACCGGCGATGGTAATTTGCGTGCGGAATTTATAAAATATTTAATAAAGTTCAGTAATCGCCACTGACTGCCGCTTGACGTTTGTTTTTTAAACGGCCGTTTGTTTATTTCATGTTGCACGTAACGCGTGCACTCGCCGCAGTATCCGAAAACGGAATGAGGCGCGGCAGATGCGACAGTGTTTTTTTTTTCGCATTCATTCGCACGCCAAAGGATCCGATCACAATGCCATCGGATGTATACGGGGATGTGGGTCACTAGACCGATCTCGAGATTCATCCTTTGTTATGCACAATTGGATACGCGATTGTCCCGCCTAAATGTTCGAAGCCGTGTACAATGGTATGTTCGAATGAGTTAGTTCGTTGTTTTTGTCTCACAGCTTCGGTTTGGAGGTCAAGGTGAAAAATGTGCGGCTATGGTTTTACTTCAGTTAATACAAAGGTAAAATCATTGAAATATGCCACTCGATAAACTTTAGTTATAGAGTTTTTAGTTATAGTTTCAGTCTTTTTAGGAAATTTTAGTATTATTATGACATTTTGCCATATACTCGTACATACAAGGAAAATGACCATGAAAAGAGACATTATTGTCCACCAGTCATCTATTTGATGATTATCGCAATAAAATACTCAAACAATTTACCTTGCAAAAAGATCTGCAAGCTGTGTCATCAACTACCTTCTACACAAGCCATACCCTACGGTCTCCTAGAAGTTAAATTTGGAACCGTTGCATTGCATCTGTACCTTTTTTCTGCCTACAGCTTGGCCGATTAATTGATGCCAGTAATTATTTATAGAACCAAGAGTATTATTCAGTACCGAAACATTCAACCTGAAGCAAACTTAATTTTAAGGTTATACTGTTACTTTATATTACGAAATTTTAACAAACAAACCTACCTGGCTTTACAGTATTAAATAATAACTATTCAGTATGGCTAGCATCCATTCTGATATGCATCCATAACGAAAAGGTACCCTTTGATCAATACTGGAATAACTACTAACTTAAATATAGATTTCTTTTGCTCGGATGTTAAATTGTTACAGCCGTCACTGATCACCCACCACGGTGGGTTGACGTTTGCGTTACCGACCTTTAAGAGGTGACCTGACAAAACCCATACATAAATGCGAGAGGGAGTTATATACTTATGTATCTCCCTATTACTATACCTATCAACCAGATCGATTCAGTTTAAAACTATGACTCGAGCTTCTAATTCCGTCTCGGCACTCGTTCCAACAACAAACGCAGTGTGCGTCGCATAGTGCCAATGTCAACCACCATTAGCATTATCTGCGACACTGCGCACTGCGATTTCATGCTATATCGGTTGCAATATTCAATTTTCCTCATTAAGGGGCTGGTTATTTTTACAGATATCGTCACACCTTAAAACTGATCTAAGTACTATTGCTATTTAAACACAATCTCTGCCACGTGATCCGTTCGGCATTAATATATTTACGTCGTTATGGGTATTTACAGTTTGCGTTACCAAATGAAAAGGATTCACATGAGTACTTTAGTACTATTTGAGAATTGAACAATGAAATAGCAGTTGACGACGTAGATTTATAAATTTTCCCTTTTTTTGATTTATAATTTTTCCCGTATCAAACATTTCATGGGTCTAGATATTTTCTCAATACATATTCTCATGGTAATCAAATGTCTGTCTGTTAAAATCAAGAGTTCGAGACACAGTAATCAACATTAAACACATTTTTTTTAACACTAAACACATTAAGCAGTCATTTTTTTTAAATCGTGTATAGTAAGTTTATAACAATGCCTGGTCAATTATTAATTTCTAAACTTATTCTTTTGGAGAAGCCCAGACTCACACAACGAGCTTAGGATAGAGCTATGGTCGAAGTTTCTTTGCGCGACAAAATCCGGAACAAGGAAGCTCGCCAAAGAACCGATGTCAGCGATATAACTCTCCGCATTTGCAAGTGTGGCGACCACGAACCGGAAGACCCAGTGTTGGAAGGCCTCCCTCTAGATGGACCGACCCAATCGTAAGAGTCGCTGGCAACCGGTGGATGCAAATGGCAAAGCGTCGTTCGTTGTAGCGTTCTAAGGGGGAGGCCTATGGTTAATACTGGACGTCTTGCGGCTGATGATGATAATGAAACTTAATCTGAATATACGTATAACTAAACTGACCGGTGTTAACTTACGAACGTATTAATTTTTATGTAAAATTTTTGACATTTCATAAGAGCGCGCAAGCGTCTATGTGAATAAATATATTTTTGATTTTGATTTTGATTTTTGATTTTGACCACTTTTTTTCTAACTCAAAACGGGATATTGGTTTACAATGAAAATAAACATAACTTTTAAATTTTCTTTATTCCGAAAAGATTAAAAATTAATAGATACAAAGAAAAAACTCATCAGATCACTTATTAAGAAAAAACTCATCAGATTTTTAATAAAACAACATTAGTATGTTTTTAAATATATTTATATTTCTCAGATGAACAAATTTGTTTTAATAAAGAAGGTGACGATTGTAGATAAGATTAAAATTGGTCTCTTTTACGTTTTGTGTTACCTTTGTTATCAGAATTGCCTTCAGAACTGGAGCTGTTCAATATCACCAGCACCACTTTGGAAAACACTAAACTGTGAGACACTTTTCGCATCTGACATCTGAAAGAGTGTTAATTTGCTTAATAAATGGGTATTTTGTTTGTAGGTTGGCATTAAATGAACACTTGGGTTTCGGCATAACTCTAGGAAAAATTTCAAAACAATAAAACTTCAAATTATCTACAAAACCATTTAAATTACACAAAAACATTAAGAAGTCAGAATACGTGTGTGTGGTTAGCCTATTGAAGAAACAAATGACAAGATGATGAACAAATTGAATGAAAAACATGCGGCGAATAACCAGGAGTAACCGATCGCGGTTTCGCGCTGCTCATGATCATGTCTGACAAGCGTGGTTTTGAAATTACCGCGTTTTCGGAAAACGTGACAATTTTGCGTCCCGAACAAATGTCTGGGACAAAGGGACAGCTGTCCGAGAAAAGGGACAGTCCCGTTCAAAACGGGATGTATGGTCAGTTTACGTATAACTCGGTGTTTGAATAAATATTTTCTGGTCTGAAGTTTTTATTCAGAATAATTGATTAGTTACAGTCATTTTATAAACAAAACATTTATAATAGTAATATTGTTCATATGTAATGGAGCCCATAGTCTACAGTCTGGAGTCCACAGTGCAATTAAATTATAATATTTTATAGCTCTATAGAAGCCACAATAAGCATCATTATAAAATGTATTACGTTGTTTGATTGCTAATTTACAATATCTGTATTTATTACCAAAAAAAAAACTAAGTTCTTGTCAATGTATTTTGATATATTTATTATGAGGAAGATACACAGGAATGGTTAAGCTACGTTCTAGGTACGCCGAGTAACAAATGTACGAACATCTATTTTTCTCCTGTGCTAAGGTCAGTCTCGTCGTTTTCCCTGTCTAATTCCTTTCAGCCTGTCTATGATTCGCAAAAAGCTTCTGCTACGTGGACATTTACGTTCCCTCCTTTTTAAGAATCCTTTTTTTACGATCTGAAAATTTATGAAAAACGCAACACCGAAATCGTTATGAACATCCAGATGTTGCCAGCCTTAAAGTGGGAATCTGTAAATTTTTCACTACGCCAATGCTGAATTCAGAAACAGAGGCTGATTAAAACGTAGAACTACGTTTTAACTGTGGATAACAAATGTCGCGTCGGAACATTTGTTATAAACGCATCAGAAACCGGCGCGAGTCGGTTTACACTGCCTTAATGCTCGCTCCACATTCACGCGCATGGCGCCATTAGCATATTATCAGGTGTTGTAACTTTGACCCATAATATCTGTGCAAAGGACATAACTTATGTACGCAGGTGCAGACGTAGGGTTAGAAAAGAAGTTTTATTTGCTACGTGCTTATATTTTAGGTCCATTAAATATCGCCAGCACATTTTTTAAATTTTAGTCAGAACGGAATTTTATCGCAGATCAGAAACTAGAATACGCTATAATTTATTTAATTAAATCCAAAGCTCTTGGAACCAGTACTGTTGCATCCACTTCATATTTAAGTGCATTTCTTACAGATATCGTCACACCATAAAACTGTTTTAACCAACTTTTACTCAAATTTGATTTCTGTCTGTAAAATGGCAAGCGAGCTGGTGGTTCTCTTGATGTTAAGTGAAGTGCCGGTAATTATTAACAATAAAATTACTTCAATCGGTCTGCTAAAATGGTCGTCGTAATGGCCAAATTAGAATTGATTGATGCAGTGAATTGTTGTCTTTCACGATAAAGCCCACAATTGGCTTCCATCATCATGATAATTATTTATAATCGAGTTTTCTTCTTTTTACTCTTTCTTCTTCAAACCAAATTTAAAGTGAATCGATCGTTTCGCTTCCGACTGTACTAATGGAAATAATTTTGCACCGTTTATCTAAACGTCTCATATTTTTTCACAATTCGAGGTCGTGTTGCATCAGAAACGTTTGTTGGTTTGTTTCGTATGTAATTGCCTTCCTTAGAAAAGCAATTTTCAGGTTTCCTTGAGATCTAGCCTAGAGCCCGTATACACACATCGCAATTCTGCCTTATACGCCTACTGTTTGCTTTGCATATTTATTACAGGCTTTTGCGTGTAACGAGAACTGGTTTTCGACGTTTGGTATAAATTACAGTTTTGGGAGAAGCAGATAGGGACAAAATTCAACAAATTATACGCTACGAAATAGCTCAGCGTCCGGGCGCTCGCCTTTAATTCAATATACTCGAGCAACATGAGTTCGATCCCCGGTGCCGGCACCAATGAAATTGTTAACTTTAATGCCCGGTTCCTATATTCAACGAAGGTCCGTTAGTTACATAGCTTCGTAACTTTCATGACTTGTAGATAAAAAGCGTGTACGCCGGGTTCCTATATAAACAAAACGAGGCGATTTCTTTACGAGTCGTTGCATTACCTACGGAAAGTGAGTTTCTAGCCTTCCTTTAGTCTACAAGTCGTTATGAAAGTGACGAAGCTATATAACTAACGGCCGTTAGTTGAATGTAGGAACCGGGCATTAGTGCTGACTTATCACGTTCTCCGCAGTGAAGGAAAACATCGTGAGGAATCCTGCATATTTTCAACAATAAAACAAAACAAAAAAAATTTCGAAGGTATGTGGAGTCCGTCAATCGCGCAGTGGGGCCGCGTGGTGGACTATGCTCTGACACCCTCTATATAGGGGAGCAGTAGTTAACGACTGTTTACCTCTCTTTTCAATCAAAGTGATCATCGGAAGTATCTACTCCCTGCGGACCGCTGAACTAATTATCAAGCTGCCCATTTCAAGATTTTTGTTTATTAGACTGCTCACGTGTTTTTTATATACGATGTTATATAAAAAACACGTGAAAAACACACACACATACGCACACTTTTATCTTTTTCATGACTTTTCAATATAATTGTGGCTGAATTTCGTTGATGCTACGTTATCTTTTAATGCACGGGTTGTTGTAGGCTTGTTGTCATAGACCTTTGTTCCTGGGTTCTCACCAACACTCTCACGCACGACCGGTGTGTTTAATGTCTCCAACTGATCCAGTCTTCCAAAACTTTTCAATTTATCTTTTCACAGTTGATGAGGTTAAAACACATCGTAAATTTTTCGAACTGCGGTGGCACAACATTTATATTTTTTAACATTGTTCAATAAAAAAAAGTAACGTTAAAAATGTACGATACAAAAACACGTTTTTGTATCGTACAAAATTCCATTATCAAAAACCTTTAGGGTTAAATCAGCTGTCAAATTGTTCTTTTTTTTTAATTTGCCAACACTTTACTGCAAAATCACTATTTTTGGGTGAATACAAATTTTGGGACACCCATTACCACTTTTGGCGCGTTTGGACAAATTATGACAGTAAAATTTTTACGATTCGCGCGAACACCGACAGCAAAAAATCGACATGATTAAGTTGGTTGCAAAGTGACCAACTCCTACCACCTTCACGGTATTACCATGACAACCTACAACAACTTTTTGTCAGCGGATCTCCGGAAACATTTCCACCGAAAGAGTGTTCGAATCACTCAAAAGACAAAACCTCCCGGTCCTTGCAATCCATCGCAAGATGACACACCATAGTAGTTAAACGCACGCATGAGCACATGCGCGACCCTACCCATAGCGGAGGGTCCAAGCCCGTGGGTTCTGGCTAGCCCACCGGTTCTGCGTCCGATGAAGCTTTAATAGTCTCGGGACTGAAAGCAAAAACATCAGTTAATACAAGATACACAAGAATCCATCGCATGACTAGCAAGCGCATGCGTACTCCGATAGACTTAGTAATGGTCCACCTTGAGCTAACCCCCGAAGGGAAAGAAATTTTCAATATACAATCCGTATTAGGACTAGATAATATAGTAGTCGAACCCCCACATAAAGGCGTGCTCCCTGGGCAATGCCACAAGTGCTAAAAATACGGACACGCAGCGTAATTGCTTCGCCAAGTCTCGGTGCGTCAAGTGCCTAGGAGACCACAGCACTCTTGTTCGAGATTTCGCCAAATAAACAAGTCAACCGCGAAGAAAATGTCAATTGTACAGAAAATTCGGTATCGTTGCCCATTCCTCGAACTTTATGACCGCCCCTCGTACGAACCAAAAAAAAAAGATAACTCATTATATGTAATCCCTGAAAAATAAGACAATTGCCCGTTATTTTTTCAACTCATCATATTAACCTCTGGGACGTTTAAATAATTCGTTTCGTCTGGTAAGTGAGGTGACCTGGGCCCACGTTGTTAAAAGGCGGCAACGCATTTGCAACCCACCGGGCGTTGCAGATGTCCATGGGCGGCGGTTATCAGTTCACATCAGGTGAACCGCCAGCTCTTTCAAACCGCCATTTTCCGAACCGCCGCTTTATCACAATTTCAAACCGCCTTTTCAAACCGCCATTTCCGAACCGCCGCTTTATCACATAAAAAAAGTAAAGCTACTCTAGGGACAAAACGTATGTTATGTAATTCTTCACAAGTTTGGTTATTAATAAATCATTATTACATTTCATATCCAATTTTAATAATGACACTGCTTGTTGTATCCGAATAAAAGACCGATGTGCTGTCAGAGTTAGTCAACCATTGGATAATGTTACATTCATTTTATTTCACTTATATTTGTGAAAAGCAGACATTAAAAATGGATTTTCGTAAATAATACTCACATCATCATTGGAATCATCGTTTTTATATAATATGAAGTAATATCAACAAAATGGTATAGTTATGGGAAAAACTCATCTCAGGAATATTTTGAATATAGGTACGTGTGGTTAAAATTTTTAAATGACAGATTTTGACAGTTTTTAAATTTCAGATTGACTTAACTAGATTCGAGACATAACGAAATATTTCGAGAATTGTACACGACTTTCGACCCTTGTATGATGGTGAATGTTTGTGGAAATTATTTTCCAGTGGGGTCATCAGTTGACAGTAGGAATAATCACAAATATCACACAAATAAATAAAAAAAAAACAGTGAAAGAATGGAACGATGGGAATAGTTAAATAATGTATGTGTATCAGGTGACCCAAGAAAATCTGGGCGACAGAGACGACAGCCAATCACCATTAACTTTTACCTTTTAAATGCCACCAAATGTTTGCAACCCCGCGACGTCGTCGGCATTGTATGCACAAATATATCACAGATCGGATCTCGCCGAGGTACTGTTAAATCTCGTCCGGACGAAATGTCAGTGCAATGAGTCACGCATTGTTGTCAAAAGTGTGCCACAAGCTTGATGCAATCCGATTGTACTCGCGGCATACGTGGAAAAAGTTGAGTCGCATAATTGCACGCGTAACAATACGCGTCTGTTCGGCGATTATGAAGACCGCTGCCGGTAGAAGATGCTGCCGAAAATACGAATGCATGTTATAATTTCTGCGTGTTTTAGTCTGAGTTACAAAATAAAGATGAGAAGTTGTTTGGTTTTCCTACTTTTAGAATACAACCTTTCAGAGGGGTATTATAGCCATTTAAAGTCCAAAAATTTATTGATTTTTAACGTTGTCCATGTTAAAGCTGACTCATTAATAAATACTGATTCAATTCTTATTAAACATTAATATTGACTTTTTTTGACTTTACTAACACTGAGGAACTTTTACGCTTTCTCGGCATCTCACCTCTTTGTTGAGAGCTAGATGGAATGAATGTTTGGTGACCTTATGTCACTGTTAAACCGGGGGAGTCAACTAATTTCAAACCCTTACCTTAACGGCGATCTACGCGAACTTATTGGTGACTACTAGATCTTGACAGGTATAGGATAAGGAGAGGTATGACCTCAGGTTTATCTAGGACACAGAAATTGAAAGCCATTGTATGGGTCACTATCCTTTCTTAAATCAGGAGGACGACCTATCATATCGTATTGATCATCAAATCACGGAAACAAGCGTTTTTCTAAGTAAGTTTATTATCATTTATTTGGAATTATTAGATCAAGGCATTTCATTATATCTCTTAACAGATTTGGACACAGTCAAAAAATCTGTGAAAGGAGAACATAAGACTATAATAATAAAAATAAAAAATAATAATAACTAAAAATGTATTCGGGTACACAAACTTACACTTGACAGAGTACACTTATTTACTCAGGAATTTATTCTCTTTCGCTAATTCAGAATAAAGTTTTAATGAAGATTTTAAAGGGATCTTTTATTTCCAGGCAACAAACACCGGAATTTTTTGACCAGTCTTAGTTAGCGAACCGCAGCTGATTTTGACAGTGCTTGAAAAAAAAACCTTAAATTAGAAAAAATCCTACTTTCTTTTTGGCCACGGGCGATAATTACCGTCAGGTGAACCGCTTGCTCCCTTGCTTGCTTTCTTCCTTTATCAAAAGAGTTTTTCAGAAGTGCACCGCCTTCCGCCCACTCGCGCCACACAATGCCCCTCAATTCGGACCGATCTGTTAGTGACACACTGACATTTTCTGGCCAATAACCGAATCGGAAACAATTGCGTGTACAACATGGAAATCAATTGGCCCTATTGTTGCCAGAACTTGTTTCTAGTGTAGCTGATTACAAGAAAAGAACAGTTCTTATTAATTAGATCGTATGCTGAAGTGTGCTTATTACTTTGTTCACGCTTAATGTAGATCAACATGGTTTTTGGAGTTTAACAATATGATGTATAACAATGAAATCATCGCTCAAAAATTTTAGGTTGGGTTATCGGTCAACCGGAATATATATATATATATATATATATCAACCAGCATTAAATGTCAAAGTTGGTTGACTGATAAGTAGATTCAAAGCTCCAGTGGAGTCCCCATATATCATCTCTTGAATAGGCTGAGCTCCGCGGTTTTTTTGCGATTATAGGCAGCTAACAGACATCGACACTAGTGCATCAGATATAAATACTATATTTATTCTTCAAAAAAGAGCTGTCCGAGCAATCTACAATATCGGAGCCCGGAATTCACTCAGAGATCTTTTCAAAGAGGTTAATATACTCACTGTTATATTATTCTATATATATATATATATATATTACCTAAAGAATAGTATAAAATAAACACTAGAAATAAGGACAATCTACGTTGACACATTGACCCGAAGTCTAACGGCCTTCGTGACTGCTTCAAATATGACATCCTCAGCAATATACTCGTATGGTGGGATTAATAGACATGGCTTTAATGGAAACTATCATTGACCTACATTTATTTTATTTTATTTTATACATCAACTTATTAGGGTTCCGTACTCAAAGACTAAAATGGGACCCTATTACAAAGACTTCGCTGTCTGTCTGTCACAAGGCTGCAACTCATAAACCGTTATAGTTTGACAGTTGAAATTTTCACAGATGATGTATTTCTGTTGCTGCTATATTAAAAAACAGCATAAAAATATATGTGGGGCTCCCATACAACAGACACATTTTTTTTGCCGTTTTTATAGATAATGGTGCGGAACACTTCGTTCGCAGGTCCGATTAGCACTGTGTCGACTAGATTCTTACATTTTTAGTATGGCGTCCAGCTCAAACATTGTCGCGTGTGTTTGTTTATTAAACAAGCTCAATGAAACGCGGATAATTATGCCAACTAGAGCCAAAATTTTAGCCAAAATATCAGAATGTATATGAAGAGGCAATGATCTTCGAATAGTGGCGATGGTAGACGAGAAAGTACTCGAAAACTAGTAAAGGTTAGTTACAAAAATACTGTTGTCGAAAATCGACACCCAGCCACTGAGCTATCCCATGTCTTAAAATACAACACAACACTGTTTTGTAGTATTTATTTGCATTGCTTATACATATCACTTAAACGACTTTAAAGATGGCCTTAGAGATGACTCCAGTCTTCAGATCATCCAGCGCATTCTGGTACTCCGACAACCTGAAGGTCTTCACGCCGAGGCTTTCGTAATCAAGATATCTGCAAGCGATATAAATAAGAGATGATTAATAAAACAAAATGGACAATTGCTAAAGTTCTATGAAGAGCTTTTTACATACACGCAAGCTCCCACGTCCTTTTATAGGGTTGTCACGAGATAGCTATGCTATCATAATTATTATGAAACTAACTTGCTTTGCTTGCCGTCATCTCCGGTCGCAACTACTTTAATGAATGTACGCCAGTACGTATCCAGCTAAAGAAGTCCAAAAAGGGAAGATTTTTAAGTACATGCTACTGAAATTTGATCTTAGAGTTCAAATTTAGAAACTACATACAAAATCATTTTGGTATAAAGATTTACAATAATAAAGCTCCAACACTAATGACAAGAATAGGAACTTTTTTTTTTCTCAAAATCATATAACCAAGTTGGACGCAACTGTACACCAGCGCGGCAATAAATAAATGAAATAAATAAATATTTGCCGACACATTTTTACACGACTAGTTCTCTAGTCCCAGGCTTCGCAATGCTTGTACTATGGGTACTAGAAAAATGATAAACATATTTAAACATACTTTTCTTTTGAAAATAAATACATATTATACATATATAAACAACCAGACACTGGAAGAACACTATGTACATCACACAATATTATTTCAGTAGTGGGGTTCGAACCCACACCCTTTGGCGCAAGGTGCAGGTGGCTTCACACGCTTATATGGTCGGCAAATAAGCAACATTTCCACACTGCACCCCGAATTTATCGTCCAGTGTATATAACATGTGCCCTACCTGTGACCTTGAAGGACTTCAAGGAACATTAAGTTATAACTCGTACATTAACTAACTCTACATCAGTGAAAACAATATTAACAGAAGGAACCCAACCTGTTGCCCATTGCCTTGAGCCAGCCGATCGCCTTCGGGAAACTGAACGGGTTGATCTTGACTCCAATGATTGTCAACTCTTTGTCGTATATCTGATAAGGGTTCACGCTGAAATTAGGAAATTGCATATCAATATGTGGGAGGGAGTTGCAACGACTTTTCTTTTCTCCACGTGCTTTCTTTGATCTTTACATATTAACTATACGTGTATGCATTATGCACGTGTCCAGAAAATCTGAAGAGTTCAGATACTGTTGGTAATGATAACCCTAGTAATACAATTCTTTAAACATATCTTTAAAAATAAACTTCTATAAATCCCGAGATATTATTTAATATAATTTTCTGTTGTCACTAGTGATTCAATAGCAGACGTTTAGAAGATTTGATCGTACTTTACATGATTAGTTATGCCTACAAATATTGTTCATTTCTTAACTTACGTCGCCTTGTGTGTGGGTGGGCAACATCCGAAAAGCACATATTTACCGCCGTGTCTCAAATAATTGAAGCTCACTTCCATCACTTTGCCAACACCTGGAACCGTAAGAGCCGCATGGATCTGACTAAAGATATTATATTCACTTTAAAGCACTAAATTTAAAATAGACGTTACGGGTAAAAGCTAGTAGGAAATGAAGCCTAAATTCATGCACCAATCTAAATGATCCGGAAAGATGTTAGAGCTGAGTAGCAGTTTTGAAAATAATTATTTTATAATGAGAATATATAATAATAGCATAAAATTTACTTCGACATATCTATGATCAATAAAAGCCCACACACTGTGGAGGGCCCTCAATCCCGTGCTTTCTGGCTAGCCCACGGGTTCTGCGTTCGATGAAGCTTTAATAGTCTACGGACTAAAAGCGAAAACTTCAGTTACAAAAAAAACACTTGGCCTTTGATAGATTAGAAAATAAAATTACTTAGAATCAAGTTTATATAGAATAAGTTGTATATTGGTTAAACACACGTAACAGAACCGGGGTTGAACCTTGTCGGATGTCAATGTCTATTGTGTAAACCGTATTAATTTATTGGAACGAGGTTATTGGATTATACGTAGTTCCTTCACATTTTAACATTTATTTGCTTATATAACTTTAAATTTAAATAAATATGCAGTTAACATAAAATTTTTTTACTAATTAAAAAAAAATCAGTTGTCGTGGAACCGACGGTGATTTCAACGTTTCATGTCTGTGACGACATAGAGTCACTAAACATAGCCCTTCAGAAGCCAATAGAAATTCGATCGATTTCTAGATCCATTAGCTCTGCAGGTTTCTCGGTAGGCATTCAGGCTTTCCTTAACCGTGATTTAATTTCTGATTAACCGTCATACGATTTGCGTGATCCCGCGTTCAGACCGCTAGCCATGTTCGACAGTTCTATATCTAATATATAATTCTATATATCTATATAATATATCTCCATGACTCCGTGGTGCCGCTGCCAAGGTCACACAAATAGTTGTCCCGTGAGGGAATCGAACCCGCGATCCCCGACACCTTAGCCAATACCTTCGCAACTGCGCCACGTAGTCATCAATATTTGCACTGACAATGGAAATCTTTAGGATTACCTGTACAGTCGATGATCACGTCGTACAACTGCTTCTCTTTTTCGAGCACGTCCGGCGTAATGAGCCTGAAACCCGTATCTGGAATGAATTAATGAAAATTTTAAATTTGTTTCATGTATTGTGTATGAATAACATTTTGAACGGAAGGAAGATTCTTACGATGTCATCAACGTGATCTAATGTAAAAATTTGTACATAAATCTTACATGTGAGAGGTGTTAAATGTATACTCGTTATCAGGGCAATATACTAATGATGAGGCTACGATAAGACAATATTGAAAAAAATCGTGATAAAATTCCTTACAAACAAAAATTTATTCACGAAGAAATGGAGGCTGTTTCCTGTAGTTTCTATTGTTTCCGTTCAAAGATTCTGCTACGCCGTTATCTACTATTAAAAAGTTTTCTAGTGAATCAAACGAGGTATAGAGACTATTGAAGACGAGCCCCGAGCCCATGCATTCTAAATAACAATGCTCAGCATTTCAACAGAATTTTGATTAAATCTCCATTGACTTGTGGAGGGAAAATGAAGACTGATGATTGAATATTTGTTTGAAAACGGATACGGTAAAGAAGTGCACGTAGTAAGACAACTATTTAATAAATTTTATTTACTCATTTTCTTAACGATTTCCAATCTGGCCTTGTTCATCTCGGAAACGGTCACCTCCCTGTGCCCCTGGTGGTGAAGAACTGTAACCCAGAGATTCCCTGAAACCAAAACAATTGATATTCAAATTTAAGTTAATTATAAACGTTTTTGTGATATGGTAACATATTTTTGTAATCTGTCAAATTATAAATCATTAAGGTCTAAATATCATTGATTAAATCATTAAATGAATGAATGAATATACTTTATTGCACACCAAAAGTAAAAGAAACAAAAATTGAAAACTTAACGTAGAAGTAATAGGTACAATGGGCGGCCTTATTACTAAGAGTCGTTGAGTAAAGTATTTTATTAAGTAAGACAAGAATTTTTCAACGACAGATAGTGGCAAAATTAATAAAAGCGGTAAGGCGGCAATTTGCAACATGAAATTTATATATAATTTGCAACATGAAATTTAATTTATTATCAACATGAATATAATGCATAAGTTATTCTCTGGCAGAAAAGCTAAAAGATAATGTAAAGATAAAGTAGTAGATGGGAAAAATATCAACCCTAGCCAGTAATAGGGAAGAAAACACATTCACTTAAATGTAGTTGTTTGTTTAAGGCACAGATAACATACTAATTAGACCATAATTTTTGTTAGGGCCAGATTTAGAGGTCTGGAGGCCATGGGCACCAAAGGAGTTTAGGCCCTTTGGCCTCAAATTATTTTCTGTTGATTTCTGTTAATATTTAATGTAATCATGTTTGTACAAAGTAATGTATGTAAAAGTAAAACGCGAAAAAAATATGAAAGGAAATTTTTTTTTACTAATATGAATTTGAATTTTTTTTCCGAAGTCTTTATTGCCACACTGTTACCCCGGTTGCCCTCCCCTTAATCCGGCCCTGATTTTTGTGGTATATCAAACTATAAACGGCTCTGTTTTTATAGCTTTAAAATAACTCTCCAACTACATTGAAACTATCATAAAGCGTGTAGAACTGTTCGAATATCACTTACCGATAATTCCAGCACCAACTACGAGGATTTTGCTGCCAATCGGTAAAGGTAGCGCTCGATCGTAGCCGTGGGAGACGCATGAGTATGGCTCGCAGAGGCCGGCTACAAAGGGAAATTGTTTAATGCAGCCACAATTTAATTACAGGTGTATCCATTGATTCCATGTATTAAGACCCAGCCCATGTATTGGAGGGGAATCTGTACAATTCAGTCCTTAAATTGTAAGCTTGTCTTTTACATAATTTATTTGTAATGCACACGATGTTAACAAAAAAAACATCCAGTTAAACGCTAGTTAAGTTATCATTTTAGCTTTTTGACAAACCATTTTCAATCGACAAAATATTATAGAGATAAAAATTATTACATTCTTTTAGGAACAAAAACAAACGTTTAGGAAAGATACGGTCCGTCGTATGAGTTAAACAAATATTACATCTCACACGTAAAGTAAACAAGTTTCAGTACAGCTGTCTGTGGAACACACAATTTTGAGTTCAGGGTGAGGTTTGAATACATAACATGCAATAGCAGTTTGTGAGGTGACCAACAGATGACTTTTTTTTATGCGAAAAGTTGTCAAACGAGCAGACGGTTCACCTGATGTTAAGTGAATACCGCCGCCCATGGACATCTGCCACTCCCGAGGGTTACAGATGCGTTGACAACCTTTTGAAAATTGAGCTCCGGCTACCTCACTCACCAGACGAAACGCGAATGTATTTCTCAAACTTCCACTTTACGCTGGTCTTCTGTGAGGTCGTGGTACTTACCCGGACGGGCCTGCTCTACCACCACAATACTACTTACTTACGTTTTTACTACAACACAGTAACTATTTCTATTCGTGCAGTCAGTTATTTTACATCAGTTTATTGAATTCAGATAAACAAAAACCTACTTTTCTCAATTATTAGCGGCTTCGGATGAAAGAAAAGTATAACATTACAGTACTAACTAAAAGATGCAGTCAGTTATTTGACTTTAGTTCGTTGAATTCAAATAAACAACGACCTATATCTCTCTAGTATTAGTATTAGCGGCTTCCGACGAAAGAAAAAGTATTACGTTATAGTGCTAATTAAAAGACCAAACTTTAAATGCATACAACCAAAGGAACAGATTTCACTAATTTGTAACTGAAGTAAGGGTGTCTTAATCGATGGTCCACCAACCTTGCTCCGTGGTGATTCCATCAGGCAGGGCGTAGACCTGGTCTTGGGGTGCCAGCGTATACTGAGCCCAGCCGCCGTCCCGCCAAATGCCGATCGTACTGTTGATGCCAGCCGACAAACAGTACTGGTAGTTGCCGTCGCGGCAGAAGTTGCACAGATTACAGGCACTGGGAATTTAAGGCGAGTTGGCAAAATCTTAGCTAAAAGAGCATCGACATGGATCAGAAGGTTAGTAAGCTGAAGTGGCGATGGGCCGGCCATATAGCTCGTGGAACCGATAACCGCTGGGGAAGAAAGGATCTCGAGTGGCAGCCTCGAACTGACCATGTGGGACGTGGGACAATGTGGGACGATCCCCTACTAAATGGAGTGACGACCTGTGCAACAGTTTTCGCCAGATAGATAGAGTGATTCAAAAGGATGATTTATATGCACATTGCACCCGTGCAGAGACGGGTCGGGGAGCTAGTCTATAATATATCCATGTTCTGAAGGTGAGGAATGAGCAGGCGGTTAGGCATGGTAAGTGATTATCGCCCATGACTACATGTGTCTTTGGAGAGTAGGCTCTCTTCACCTCAGTGGCAAGACAAAACGCACAAGCATCAATTTATCTACTTTACGTGTCGGTCTATTGCGAGACGCGGTCTTCTACTGGCGAGCTGGCTCATTCGATTCAAAAGCCATAAGCAACTATATATCTCCACCTCATTTAAATCCGGCCCCTCTTGTTATATAATAATTTAACTCCAGTATCTCGTTCGGTAACTTAGTCTTTAAATTGATAAAGAACAAAAAAAAGCAAATCCCAGGATAAATCTTCGAATGTAAAAACAGCGCATCCTATTCGATCTATAAAAGTATAGATTGAAAGAGGAAATAAAAAAGAAAACTGTTCCGCCAATCTATAGGCCATAAATGGTATCTGTTATAAATTAGCGTAACTTTTAATTATTGCTAGTAATGTATGTATATTTGTTAGCATAGAGCGACGCAGTTTGGATGCGAGTTCATCTTAAGTTTTTGCTTAAAAATTTTTTGAATTGTCCTCCAAACTGGTTTTTAAGATAAATTAGTTGACAGTAGATATAATTAAATACACTAGTTCGAATGTAATAAACTTTTCATACTACTGTCTAGTGTCCTTAATGTAGTTACATGTAGGTATTCAGATATTATGATGTAGTATTATTATATTAAGTATTATATTATATGTATATGTTCTGCAGTGGACTGCAACAGTCTGAAATGGTGGTGATGATTATTATTATTATAATTTTTTTTATTAAATATTAATTGTTATTTCTTTATCGGGACAATGATCAGAGTTATTGACAGGAACCTGTCCTATTCCCGGGGCTGTGAAAGTAGGATACACAGTGAGAAGTATCTTTGTATCACCCTCCTGGCCTTATACCATTTAAGTGGTGTCGGCACAACACGTGAGTGACATGTGACACACCCGTAACAAAATTACATGTGTCAAACAAATACTTTTTCTGTATAGGAATCTATCCCTAAAAAAGGAGCTGAAACCAATAGATTAGCATTTTTACAGAAAAAAATACAAATTACCGGTTGGGGTCAACAACCACCTTCTGGCCTTTTTTGAAGATTGACGCCTTGCCCGCCTCATGGACGATCCCACTGAACTCGTGGCCCAAAGGTAACGGTCTATCTTTGGACGCTGGAAACTCGCCCTATGAATTTCAAACACATTTATTTATATACAAAAAGTTTTATAGATTATTAATGCAATCAAAAAACACAAATCTCTCTTTTGTGATTTAAAATAAATGAAAAAATTTTAACGAAAACTGCCATTCAAACGTTTTACGAACTTGTCTGTCTTTCTTTTACGTCGTCTCTGATTTAACTTTTGATATCTAAGGACCATTTATGACAATTAACTTTTCTTACTACATCCACTGGGGCGAAATCGCACGTATTTTTAATTTTTTTTTTATATGAGAAATTGACAAACGAGCTGGCGGTTCACCTGATGTTAAGTGATAACCGCCGCCCATGGACATTTGCAACAACTCGTAGGTTTGCAGTTGCGTTGCCACCTTTAAATAAAGTGGGCCCCGGCTATCCCACTCACTAGACGAAACGCAGAAGTGTAACACTTCTACTTCACGCCGGCCTTCTGTGAAGTCTTGGTGCTTACCCGGACTGACTTACCTATACAGCAACAGTGAACACGCGTGGACCTGCGTGGACCTAACACAAAACAAATGCCATATGGATGTCATTAGTTTCTCTAACAATTATTTCTATGTACTGTTATTTATTTACCTGTATAATATGAAGATCGGTGCCGCAGACTCCGGAATATTCTACTTTGACAATGACGTCAGTGTCATTAGTTATCTTCGGCATTGGATAATTCGGTTCATATTTAAGCGTCAGCGACTTTCCGTCGAAAACTACAGCCTCCATGATGACTTACGACAGCTAATTTATGGCAACCTGACGACAAGATCGTCGGTTTACGATTATGGAAAACAAAGAAATAAGATAAACAAGGGATAGAATATACACAGTAAATCCCTTAGATTTTTCACTGAAACGCTAAATTCCAAATTCTTGTGGAGGGCCTATCGTTTTGCATCGGATACAACTATGGATTAAGACATAAGATAAAGGATATTCATTTCTTCACCATCATCTACGCACAAAATAGCACAATATAAATATTTTGTACTTAGAAAAGACGGCATAGAACGGCAAAATAGATTCTTTGTGTGTTGTGATGAAGTGATGAGGACCTCAACATAAGTCGCATCAGTAGCGCTGAATTTCACTCAGCCCGCGTCATTGTATGAACCAATTAAATATTATTAAAACTACTTGAAGCCTTGAAGCACTCTCAGAGACGTCGGTTAACCGCTACCCAACCACCACATCGTAGCTGTTTGTACAACGACACTAAAAAAACTCCTATGGTTTCTCAATTCGACCGTACATATTTTTATTTTTTTTATGTGTGTTCGCGGATAACTACGTCGTTTGAACCGATTTTGATGATTCTTATTTTTTTGGAAAGGCGATATCCCAACGGTGGTACCATAATAAGGAAACCCAGATCTGATCATGGCATCTCAGAGAAATCGAGAGCAATCATCAAATGTTTTTTATTAGTTTCCGGTTTGGTCAGTTTTTTTTTTTTGTTATTTTACTTCATATTTCTAAAATATTCACGATTCCTCAATATGTTTTCCTTCCACTTCACGTCTTCCGTTAATAGCGAATTATTAAATAGTATAAATTAAGTATAGCATAAATGCATTTTATGAATGAGACATATGACCTATTGAAGTGTAACATGGTGTAGTAGATGAAAATCTGAGCGGATCATTTATGTTAATTATTTAAGTTTATCAGCGAGGCCCAGTTTGACTTGAGGCTATCGTTAAATTGATAACCACTTACATAATAACGTAAGTAAATAAACGTTTATTCAAATCTTCATAATAGAAAAAAGTGTAAGCAGTGTCATGAACGTGAACTGTGGATTAAAATATTGTTAATTTTATTTATTTATTTTTTTATTTATTTATTAATCACATAAAATATACAAAGAATAGGCTTCCATAGCTATTCTCGCCAAACTTTTACGTTTGATGGCGAGACACGCTCGATTTTCAACATAATATCTTCTAAGTATACTACTAATTTACTTATAATATTAATTATATCTACACATTTATTAAGTAATTCTTTACACTATAATTATAACCAACACAGGCACAAATTAAACAATGATATAATTCTGTTATAAATAATTGTGATTATGTATTTTGATATATTTTTTTTCTGAAACCTGGCCATAACTTGACCATCAAACCTTATAGAAAGCACCGGTAGATAGAAAAATTAAACATTTTACAGTAGTTATTATTTAAAAAAGTTAAATTATTATTATTATTAAAAAAGTTAAAGCGTTTATTTGAAATATTTACATTTATTTAAAATCGCTTTAGCTTTTAGCTCAATAGTTTCCTCGTAATCTACCATTTTTTTATATTTGCACAATAAAACTGTTGCCTTCTCTCCTTATTACATTTATTTTATAAATTATGTACACAGAGAATTATGACAGAAATGTAAATACATGAAAGAATTTGTACAAAGGCCCTGCTTATTTCTTAAGAAATTTCTTCCAGCAGACCTGTGACTGGAAATTGGTTACAAAAATGGTAGTTAATTGTGTACATATATTAAGTATTTTTTCAAGTTCAGCATTTTTCTGTTGATGCTTTTAATACCCCGAAAAAGTTTTACACTGATTGAAATAAATATAAAAAAAACAAATCCTCCGTAAAAGTATTCCAGTTTTCATTCCAAATAAACAAAATAATACTTCGCTTAGTTCGGAATAGACGCGATATTAAGACGATTAAAAAGTTTTAACAAATAGGATTTCAAACTCACCTTTTAGTCGACCGATCTTTATCAAGCTGCTTGAGCCTCTAAAGAAGAGAGCGTTATCAACGATAATCGACCTCACATAATAGTCACGAGGGTGACCATGCTTTTACGAAACGCGAGACAGAATCTGATAACTCTGATGAATTTGTGTAGTTGAGACTTCCCGATAAAGCTCAATCAAAATGTGGCAGGAAAGTGTCGATGTCGCTTTATCCTATTGTCTGAGAAACCACCGCCTGGACATGAGTTGCCGTGACTTATTTTTTATGTGAAAAGTTACCAAACGAGCAGACGATTCACCTGATGTTAAGAGTACCACTGTCCATGGACATCTGCTACACTCGAGGGTTCCAGATGTGTTGACAATCTTTTGGAAATTGGGCTCAGGCCACCTCACTCACCATACGTAACGCGAAAGTTCGCCAGTCTTCCGTGAGGTCGTGGTACTTACCCGGACGAGCCTGCTGGATAACTGGCTGGCGTGGAATTCATTAAATATACTTCGGACGAAAGCCGACCGAAGTAAAGAGAACCTGTTCAGGTGGCGACTCTCAGACGGCTCCAGCTTGGAGTGAAAATGTGGTGCTGGTCCCCAAACCATGGAACATTCGACGTCGTGCCCTGCGTGCCCAACCAACTACACGCAGAAGAACCTGGTGAATGCTGCTGACAGTACAATCCTTGTAGCTGAATTTTGGACCGATACCGCGTAAACAGGAATTGCCACCGACACGAAAAGAAGAAGATCGAGACTTCCCCCCGACGGAGGTCGCCATTGAAAATTCTTATAAACTTATTGATGAACTCATCACCAGTCAATTTTCGAATAATCCACTAGGTGAAAATAGATAACACATTCCGTCAAGGTCTCGGCGATGGCGTAGTAAACTTAGTAATGATAATTATATTCGGAAACACCTCTTTGAGTACTTCAGCGTAACTTCTATGGTGATAATTACAGCTACTTTGTAAGAGGTATAGTTAAAGTTATAGGTGAAAATTAAAATTAAGTCTCTCGTTGATCATTTACATAATTTTATATCATCGATGTTTTTTTGTTCATCCTAATACGGTAATGAGATTTCACAGATATTAAATTGTATGAAAATATAAATACGCCCTATACAAGTAAATGATATACTCTTAAATTATTCTTGCCGAATTTCGCTGATCGTTTACATTTTTTTGCGAAAAACGTACACTTCAGAAAACTTAAATATTATCTTCACAATACAAGCAAAAGTGAGTTCAGTACTTATGCTTGTAAATGAGTTTACTTTCTCGACTCTGAAACCAGGTTTTGAAGACTAGTAGGAGCCAGGAGCAGAGATTCAACATTGCTCTTGATCTATTCAAGCGCGCAGCCTTGAGAAAAATCTCTGCATGTCCTGGATGTTTGGTTCGGGTGCCTCTCCTGGCAACCTCTCTAACGTAAAGCGAGGACTCTTTAGGACACAATCCCGCAGTGTGTCCAAAGTTCAAAGCTAAGGTCTGAAGGGTGTGCTGCACTCGAGCGCAAATCTCTCAGGTACGACAAAATACCGAATGCTGGTCTGCTACAATATAATGACCATACAATAAAAACCCTAATGACAACAGGATATGTTAAGTGGATCGCTTAAACTAGGTGCCACGCGCTATTGTACAGCTATTTGAGTAATACGGTTTGGGGCGGAGTTTTTACGTAGTAGTTGAGCATTTGGGTTTCGTTTCGGCAACTTGGAATATCCATAGTGCCACCAGGGAAGCTGTGTTGCGATATGGTATCTCAGCCTAGTTGTAGATCACAGATGAAACTTTTTGGCCCATTTTTTTAGGTGAAACGTTGCCAAGCGAGCAGACGGTTCATTGTTAAGCGAATACCGCCGCCAATGGACATCTGCTACACCCGAGGGTTGCAGATGCGTTGACAACCTTTCGAAAGTTGGGCTCCGGCCACCTCACTCATCAGACGAAACGCGAAAGTATTATACCTCCACTTTGCGCCGGTCTTCTTTGAGGTCGTGGTACTTACCCGGAAGTGCCTGCCCAACCGTGCAACAGCTGAGGCTGCTGCCACGGGCTAGGGCAAAGCGCGGTAGCTCTCGGTAGACTGCTTATGAACTGTGCAGCCCCAATGACTCCTGTGCCGTCGCCTCTAAGCCGAGGTCGTACTGTCATTGGCCCTATATCATGTGGATCCGTATGATGATACACTAGTCGTAATAAACCGCTTTTGGGCAAACCTAAGAGGATGTTGGCAATCCAGGCCAAATAACGCTACTGGGGGATCTCCAGCGAGGTGGCGTGTCCGATGTCTTGGGGCCTAGAAGCCAGGAAATTCGTAGAGTTGGGGAGCACAAGGATAGCGTTCTCTATCCATATCACTCACGACTACGCTCAAGTCGTAGCGTTCGATTCCCCGATATCGCACTAGCACTTGCTGGCCGCTAGGGTAGCTAAGATGGTCCTATTGTATTGGCTTCTGTCACGTGTACTCAGTACTCACCATCAAGGATGGTATTAACCGTCTGAAATTTTATATATATACGATAAAATTAGATGCAATGCCTCCTAATTTTGCCGACAAGCGCCTTGAAATAGTAAAAAATTCATAATTAGATGTGTCAGATATTACCTACTAAATCACTCGTACTCTCATTTACCAAACTAATTTTTAATAACATTAGAGCAACCCTATAATATTTCAACGTCATTTTGCTATATGAAAAAATCCACAAACTAGCAGACCTTACACCATGCTACAGAATATTTTTTATGAATCTAGTAGGTTGTTCACTGACACTTCCATAGTTGTAGAAAACGCCCATAGAGTCCAAAGAAATAACCATGACAGTAAACGTAAATGGTCGGTCATTTACCTTTCATTAATTCCCAGTAAAAAACTAACAAACTCAACTACCTGAGGGCGAGAGGTTGTTACCTGATTTCAATAGACAGGAAGTCGGCCCTATCGTTAAACGATCCAAATCTTACCGTATAAATTCAATTTTTCCGTAACATTATAGATTTATACTCTTTTGCTTCTTTTTTAAATTAAAAAATATTCTAGTTTATAATATAAACCTACATTTTTAAAATAATCAAAAAATAAGAAACAAAAATACAAAATAGATCACGAATGAAACGATTATTACTAATTTATAAATAATTTATTGAAATAAGGGGTAAGGTACAGATACGAAACTAAAGCAAATAACGGATTAAAATATTACTAAGGTTATTTTTCGAATTAATTGGAAGACTTAATTCGGAGAATTGATACAGTAAAGTCAGGGTTTTGTATTTTCCTCTTAGTTGTAAATGATAAACGTAGTATAAATTTAATGAAATGTTTCAAATTTTTGACTGATGATAGGCACCAGACATAGTCACGGTCAATACAGGCCTTAAATAAAGTAACGATTGAGATTATTCTTTGAATTGTGGGCTAAGAACCATTGAATTCAAATCATTCATGGAACAAGAAATGTTACTGTTCTGAAAGAAAATCAAGAGAGGTTACGTGAACTCTTACAATATTTTTAAATCAAACTTGGAAAACCTCATGGCTCATATCTGGACCAATCAGTATAAAATAACGATAAGATCCATTATGTAAAGACGTCCTTCATTCTGAATCGAGACAAACCCTCGCTAGACTTCTAGCCATACTTGTCACAGATATGGCTAAACAGCTAAATTTCTCTAATCTAGCTAAATTTTCAGACGCTCAGGTCGCTAAGCTCTTATAATTCTTAATCAAGTTTAATAAATACGGTTCATCCGTTAACATCCAATTTGACTGTCAAAAAGTATTTCGGAGTAAAATAAATGAACATCCTAATATAAGAATCACCAATAATTTAATTTTTGGCATTGCTCAGATTTAAGTCATCTGTTTATACGATTGTTTTTTTAGTGTAACCTATTATAAATAATTTAATTATCTTTGATAGAAAGAATAAACATCGCGGTCTGCAGACAGTTAGTTCTCACCTCAAAGGGCTCTGCGCAGCGCGAAGAGCAACACAACACTATCCGCGACACGTCCTTTAACGGTGTGTAATAGACAACGATTGAACACAATGCGGCGATTCGGGATAGGTCCCGTTTGGACATTTTCGAAACGCCCTTCAGCCAGTGCCGGATTAACCACGTAGCAAGAGTAGCAATTGCCACGCGCCAAAGGGGGCCCCGCATATTTAAACCCACTCATCTCCGCCTTAGTTTTTTGAGTGAAACTCATTAAATAAGTAAGAATATTGAATTGTTTTTTTACCAATTTATACTTAAGAGCCCATAGTAACAGAACTGTTTGAAAGAATTTGTAACGGGTCCCGCTTTTGCTTAATCCGGCACTGCCTTAAGCTACTGTCCTAAAATGATAATTAAAGTCTAACCTTAAAGTAAAGTATAATCGTGTATATAGACTAGTTTCTATCTATATGAATGAATATATAATTTTTTATGTATGTAATACCCGGAAATAACTGAGCTAATTCGAACCAAGTTAGTCAATTAAACAGCCGCAAAATCCGTAAAATGAGTTTCATTAAAATTCGGGAGACGCTTTTTAGAATCCTGGCAGAAACAAAAAATTCCGACAGTTATATCGACACATTATAGTCCATTAATGAAAGATAACTGCCGATTGCCTATTACAGGTGGTTTTGTATATATTTATAGGTATTTTCTTATGACCCAATTCAAATTCAACTTAACTTAATCCCCCGCTCTTTCTACTGACACAACCGGGTACTCTTATAGAGGGACCTGATTCTATTAACTTAGGCTTTTTTGTTTCTACTAATATAGCAATAACCCTCTAAACCAAAACCATTAGCTATCCACATTTCGATACGCCTGACACTGAGCCAGCTTCGCTGGAATAAAATTCCTCCATTTTTGTTTTTTTTTTTTCTGAATGTAACGTTGGATTAACAATCGCTCGATAGTTGCTCAGCCGAAAGTTTGAGCACCAGGTAGTTTTCATAACTGGCATTTTTATCAATATTTTTTCATTATCACTTTTTCAACACAAACTGCGTCTACATCCCTTTCTTCCTTTAATGGTTAACATTTTATTTCGAACTGGCTATGAACCATGATGAAGTGGCGATGCAGCCTTTGGTTAACATGTCTTATCTCGGTCTGGACCTTATGCTTTTCTATTGTTTTTTTTTTGTGTTTTTACGACCGGCCGCCTGCTTGATGTCAACCCTCCTTGGGAATAAGCGACCAGATCCGGAACAATTATATAACTAAACAAATTATACAACTAACTTAAAATAATCGAAACCACGACCCCCGGTCCCCAAGCCACTAACTTATCAACTGCGCCACCAAGTCATATATTATCATTCATATATAAATTAGAAATAGGCAAACTAATTATGTAATACTAAGCGGATGCCACGCTGATATTCACGCAAGTTCTCCCTCTTAATAACAGAACAACATATTGAATTTAGGAAGCCACTCTACGAAAAACTGTAAGCTCGTCGTATTCTGCCAATCCATAGATCTGAATAGTTAATAGTCATCCTACTTTATATTTAACTATGCAGATAATATAATTGCCTTTTAAGCCTTGTTTTTGTCAAGTGTCATACAAGCATTATCGCAGTTATAATATTTTTATCGCCTCTCTTACGTGTTCCGTTTCATAATAAATATTAATCTGTACACACAAAATACATGTTTGTTATAATTTCAATCAAAATATGGATTGCCGCTGCAACTTGCTGTATTGAATCTTGTGTCTTCCGAATATTTCATTTAGATACGCTCTGAGCCGATTACTTGGTTTCAGAAATTTTAATTTTTAATAGTGCTAATCTCTGCACTTAAGATTTAACAATTTAAATTTCTAAAAAAAAAACAATGGCGACATCTCTCGTTGTAAAACGATATTCGAAATTGTTTGTAAACTGGAAAGGATATATAACAATGGATGCGCCAAGCATTGCTTCAAATGCTATAAAAAAACAATGTAATAAATGACGTTAAGATTTTCGTCGGTGTGGTAATCAGCCGTTTAGCTTAGCGGCTAAAGCGTCAGGCCGCGAATGCCGAAGACGTCGGTTCGATTCCCACAGCGGCGACAATCTTTTCGTACTTTTTCTACATATTTTACTTTTATTTTCATTTCGCATTCGCAGGAATAGTCATATTCTGCATCTTCTTTACTGCATTCTGTTCAATCCTTTTTTGATGACTCCGTGGCGCAGTTGCCAAGGTATAGGCTTCGGCGTCGGGGGTCGTGGGTTCGATTCGCACACGGGACAACTATTTGTGCGACACACAGATAGTTGTTTCGCATCTGGGTGTTTATCCTCGTGCAATTTATGTTTGTAAAACGTCCTTATAACACAGGATAATGTTATCCTAAAGTGAGGGCAATGTTATTTAAAAAAAAAAATCCTACCACTCCTCGTTATTTAAAGGATCGATTTATTTATCTAAATGATTTACACTGTTTTTCTCTTCGTTCTCAAAATAATTTTCTGCTTAGTACTCCTAGTCACTCCTCTTCCTTCTATGCTAATTCTTTTACTGTTACTGCTATACGTCTTTGGAATTCTCTCCCCTTAGATATTAAACTATCTAAAACTCTTAAAATTTTTAAAAATAAATTAAAATTTCATTACCTTTCCTCTTAATCTTCTATCTGTCGTCCATTATATATTATTTTCTGGTTATATGTATATAATATTATGTACTTATATGTATATATTTTTCTTAATATTTATTTAGTACACCCCTGCCACTTTCTTCTTTTAATGAATTTCTCTGCCCTAAGGTTGCCTGGAAGAGATCGCTGTTTAAGCGATAAGGCTGCCTGTTGTACCCGTGTGTTTTTTTTAAATTATAAATACTGTAATGTTTCTATGGTGTACAATAAAGTATATTTTACTTTACTTTACTTATTTTAATACTTGGTTTCAAATAATATTAATTATGCATACTTATATTTCTAATGCAGGATCTATGAATTCGCGTGTATAAAGAAGCTTATAAATATTAATAGGAGGATATTGCAGGCGTGGAGCATAAGTGTGTTGGTGCTGTTTTTCCAGAAATATAATAACGCTCTCTTGATGGACTATATCCATTCTGAGTCATCTTGAGTCGTCTCGCTTCCGAACTCTGCAACTTGCAGCCCCCCGAACCATAGAGCGGCGTACACGCTCTGCGGCAGATTATGCAAAACACCAAAGTGTCTAATCAGTACAATCCCTCTATGCCTGGCGTATGTGAACTAAGAGACAGCGTGCGATTCCGATGGGGAATCGAGCTCTCGATTGGCAGCTTCGTATTGGTCATCGTTGTGTAGGATTACCCCACACTAGATGAAGTGATGAACTGTGTAAGTATCCGGGAAGTCGATGAATACAGGTGACTCAGAATCGTGCTCCGTGGCAGTCTGTGGGGGTAGCCAACGTTCAGCAGTGGACTAAAACTGGCTGTAATCAGGGTCAGATTTAGAGGTCTGGAGGCTTCGGGGCAGCAAAGGAATGGAGGTCCCTTGATTCCCAAATTATTTTCCATTGATTTCTGTTAATATTTAATGTAATCAAGTTTGTATAAAGTATTGTAGGTAAAGGCCAAAAGGGCGAAAAAAAATATGAGAGGAAAAGTTGTTTACTAGTCTGAATTTGAATTTTTTTCCCAAATTTCTGTTGTGAGGGCCCCTATTATGTGGAGGCCCCGGGGCTGTTGCCCCATTTGCCCTCCCCTAAATCCGGCCCCGGCTGAAATGATGATTCTGGACCTAATTGATTACCTGGAAGATCAGGATGAGGCCTGTTCATCCACTTAGTCTTACTCCCCAAATTCGATTTGAATTTGTTTTTGTTTTCCATTCTAAAACAATCTTGATTCGAACTCGATTGAAAAGCTTACTCCCGAACCGAATCGAAACTAGAAACAAGATCGTGCCTAATCAAATCCGTTAACTGTATCCCATCTATTGCATCACAGCCAAATGTTCCATGTTTACTAACCGTAAACATGTACCGTAACATCTTTTTTAGATATAATCTTAATTGCCTAATTTTTTCCAAAAATATATTCAACCTAAGTTAGTTCCAGTTCCACCACTCGATTGTGCGCTGGCGTCAGATTCACTGGTACGAACTGTCATGAATTCGAGTCAAACTCGATTGATTCGGAACTCAAAATTGTCGAGAGTAGGCCTACTGATATGGACGGCAATACGATATGATAACAATACGAACGATGGTCTCGTGTTGCCTATAAAGCAGCGACGGAATTTGCGAAGGCTTATCCTTCCCCAAATCCTTCCCCGAAGCAAACTTATTGACGGAAAGTGCGGGCAACGGTGCGTTCCGTAGGACGTAGGAAATCGCGGAAACCCTTTGAACGTAACGAAGAATGCCAAGGAAGTTGTTTTAGAAGGTAAGGTAACATCCTGTCCTCCACTGTCCTCGGGTAATTTGTCCTTTTTTTTCGTGGGAAAAATCACCTGCATGGGATACCCAAAAAGGGGTAAACAGGTTCTGTCGGATTCCTACCGACTAGACACCAGCGTTAGTCACCTTCAATCTTTTGCGAGGGGGCACTTTAATCTGCTATCTTCAATCCTAACTCGTGAATCTTATCAACGATAACTTGCACGCTTAGCTCGGCTTGCTCCTTGGCCCTCTCGAAATTTTCCCCGCTATCAACCACTTAATGTGTTACCCGCATAGCACATGTCGTTAGCGAGGACCTCAGTACGCGCGAATAAGTTTATACTACAGAAAGGAGCAATGTTTTTGAAGAGAAGACTACAATAGATTTTCTAGATCTCAGTGTTCGTCGGGACCTCACTACCCTACCCCGTTCCACACAAAATACAATACAACTGTTTGGGCAAAAGTATAAGTTACTGCGAGAAAAACGAAACTTAAAAAATGCAGTGTAACAACTTGCTCTGATAAGCTCATGTTTCATCGAACGTAAATATGTAATTTTATATATTACGTTTCATTAGAAATATAAATAATGATAAACAATAACATCGTTTTGAGATAAAAACAAAAACTCTTAAACATTATAAAGCATTAAACTTTTATCAAGAATGTTATAACCACTATTAGAAGATTACGTTTTATGAAAATACGAGAACGATGATAATTTTTATTGTCGTCATTAAATTTATGTACGTATGACATAACATAAGAAAATATTTTTAA